TTGTCGGCAACCTAACGCTCCACTGTGAATGGTGCAGGCCATCATAACGCAGCTACTTTTAGGTGTGTACGTCGGCTAAGCCGGTTTCAAGGCCCTTATTACTCTTGTTGAGGCCGGCCCGACAATGTCCCATGTGTTACCCGTGGAAGGCAAAGATTCTTCCTGAGGGAGAATTTGAGAAACCATTTTCATTGCTAACTGTGGACTCTGATCATTCAGTATTTGAATTATACTATACATATCGCTACACTGATGAAATGTAATCAGAAGAAGGATTCTCATCTATTTTGCTAATTCAGTGATTTCAATTTTACAAAGATCTACTGGACTACAATGTTGTTGAGCTCACGCGCGCCAACTCCCTACGAAGGTTAAGGATGCAGTGATTACAAAAATTCCATTCAGAATTTGCTGAACGAGCTCGGAAACAGTGATGGAGTGGTTGATCAAAGCTGGTGGAAATCCCGAAAACATAGCCAATTACAACTGCGCGTGAGTGAATCGTCTATGTTTTCTGCCTTTTTATAATACTTTATTGGAAAAATCATAGTTCTGAATGGTTGGTTTTGAAGTCACCAAAGATTTCACTGCAGTATTTCGTTTTGCAATTTTTCAACAGAATCATAACGCTTTTCCCGTTCAGTTGCTCTCTTGCTCTTTTCATTACCATTCTCTTTTTTCTACTTCCTGCTGTTGATAGTTGAAACTTCAACCCATATTCTAATCCTATTCCATTTCTTTCCCCAAGATGTTCGCCTTTGCTAAGCCATATATTTTGTAGACTGTCTGAATCTGTACTGGCTCGATCTCTTCCCTTCACCTTTTCTTCTGCCATCGCTCTACAGCAGCGCTCCTTTCCTCTGTCATCAACTTTAGCCCACGTTGGACTGTTTTTGGAAAAAAAGATTATGATCAAAAATCTCATGAGAAGGGTGAGTGAAGGGCAAGACACTCAGTCCCTGAGGGGGCTCAGACCCGTGCATGGCTTTCATGGGGTTCGTCTTTTACACTTCCGAGAGGCGGACACTCACCGCTATATTACGGACGATATTTAGCCACGGATCTTCTTCCTTGAGTTCCCTCTCGCTGAAGAATCTCTGATCGGTCGGTGACGAGACGACGTGATCCCAGGTGGCGAACAAGGGAGCAAATCGAGGACTAGAAGTCACGGGTGCGCTTGGTATCCTGCTCTTGGGCTCAGCCAAAAGTTCGCATCCGAGTGACTGAGAAAAAACCGACCAAAGTGGTCATTTACGACTTCGACTTGAATCTCTTCGACAGCCACGTCTACCTGCTTACCTGCGATCCCAAGGATATGCCTTTTCCCCAGTTTTTCTTCTGGAGTTCGACATGCCATAACCCCGATGAAGAGGTGTGTGGCGTTTAGTTTCTACAGGATCGAACAAGGACATGGAGAGCTGGAGAGCCTTCTATCACTTATCCTCAAAACTCTATCCAGGCTCCTCACGGGTGTTTGTTGGAGTGCAGAGTGCCGTTCCAACATCGTTGGTAACTAGCAAGACTGTTTTGCTGCATGAAAAGGGAGATCCTGACAATATAGTTAGTATTGCCCGATCTACCTGCCATATCTATTCCACAGGTTTTTTCACATGAGTCATCCTCAGCAGGATGGTAGAATACTAGATGAAAGGCAGTCATGCTAGGAAAAAGTTTTAGAGTGCTTCAATGCAGTCGATCACATTCACGCTATCACAAGACTCTTTGAAGTATTACGAGGGTCCAGGATGCTGTTATAACTTACTTTCATTCAATTGAAAAAGGCCTTCAACATCTGACATCATTTATAATGTAACGGTGATTGAAGCCCCTGGCCAATCAGGTTACCTATTCAGAGATGTTTTGAGATGTCAACATGATGAACCTCGCTTCCGATGTAAGCAGGAGAAACGCGCGGCGTGGGGAGCATTTGAGAACACTTGGGAAGGATATAGGGTTTCCGTATTTCCAAACTCCGAGGTACACCGATGCGTACGTCAGGAAATTGATGATCAGACGGACCGAAATCGTCATGCGACTTTTATAATGTCTAGGACGGCTGTTCGGTGGATCACTTAAGGTGTCAAACGTATGCCAGGGCAGTCATGGGAGGATTTTTTTATGAAAGCTCTAAACAAAAGGAGTGCTATGCCTCGTGTCCCTCGAGCAAAGGGCGATCCGCTGGACTACTTTTGCTCGCCATACGTAGGCTGCCTTTTATATTTCGGGATTTGAGAACAGGAACAAATACTATTTATTGAAAATCGCTTTAATGCCTTTCAAAATTCTCCACATTAAGATCTATACACTTTTGCATAGGCTCGAACCAATTTTCGAAGC